ATTCTAAACAATGTTTCTAAACTCTAAACACCCTAAAAGAGAACAGCATGTCGATTTTAACTCTGCCTCAGCTGCTCTGTGCCACCTGCAAGCACTCTTGGCCACGCCCACTTCTCCACTCTGCACGGAGATCAGCTGATCAGCTGCAGGAGGAAGTTTCTCCTGCAGTGTGGGCTGCGCAAAGGTGCAGCTAAAATAAGATATTTTAAATAAAAATTCCACGCCGATCATGTGGCTCATCCATCAATCAGCCAATTGTGTGTACGTCCAGTTTTACTTTGAAAAACTGCGATAAAGCAAGTCTGCGAAAACCGAACCGCGAAATAGCGAGGGACTTCTGTATTGATCTAAACTGGGACGTGGTAGTAGCTGACACTGATCCCCAACACGTATAGTCTAAGCAATAACAGATTGTGCAATATCTTTGTTTAAAGTTTTGCCTAGAATTATTTGGAGTCAACTTTGTCTGTTAGCAAAATATTTTCCCAACCACAGGATGGATTTTAAATACCAATTTTAGGAAATACTCTTCGGATGTTCATCAATCCAATTCAAGATGGCCGTCATAACAACATACCTAAGCCAACACAAAATTGGCTATAACTCAGCCAAAACTCGCAGATATTTAGCTAACATTTGGTGCGGTAGTAGCTGAGCGTCATTTGCAACACACATGGTGAGATCTTGCGGGAAATTGCGCTAATTATTTTCCAGGTTTAACCTAAACGGCTACAACTCCATCATTTCTCCACATAAGATGATCTGAGAGGAGGTGGTGGACGATGTGCTCTTCAAGGAGAGCTAGGCTTTTATTTTATATGTGACTGTGTTTGAGCCAAGAGCTAATTAGTAAGACATTCCTTTGTGCAGCAGAAGAGCCTGTCCAGGCTAATGGTCCTCTGTTGTTGTGTCTCTGCAGCCAACGTGTCTGGACGGTCAGTGGGGGCCCCGGAGCATCTCTTTGTCCGAGCCACATCACTCCTCCACTCACATTTCTGTGACACTGAAACTCTGCAGGAGGCTATTATCAGGTCAGCTGATAGGAGGTGGTCGGGGGAGTTCTTGTTTTTTGATTTTATCAAGTAGAAGGGCTTGGAGAGCTGAATCGTGTTTTTCATTGTATTTATCTTAAGTGTTTTTTTTCTTTAACTTGCATAGGTCACACTTTGCTGTTCTCTCTCCAGAGTGTCTAAGCTTGAAGTGTAACTTTCTGTGTTTGTGTTCTCTGCAGGAACGCCGGTTCTGCTGTGTATGGAACCCGCAGCGTGGTGCAGGAGACATTCTTCCAGCAGCAGGGCGGATCTCAGAGGAACTCTGGCATCCCCAACCAACAGGACAGTGCTTTCTGCCTGCCCAGCAAGGCCCGGCTCCGACTGCTGAAACACGGAGTTAACCTGCTGTGATGCCCTCTGAGCTCAGAGGAGTTCATTTACAAACTGGGCTCCCAGTCTGCCAACAAACAAATTCTGATATATTCTGAAATACTTCTACCTGTCACTTACAGGTTCTTTGATCTCACAAAATGGTATTATACAAGTTGTTTTTTTGCCCTTCTATACCTTTTTTATTATCACCTGTCACCAAAAAGTGGGAAACGGTGTCTTTGTCAGCGTCTTGTTAGTGTGCATTGTTTCTGTTAGCAAAATATCACATGAACCAACAAACTGATTTTCTTGAAACACTCAGAAAAATCAAAATGGCTGCCACAACTAAGTGACATAGAAAACCCAAAAATGGCTATAACTCAGGTATTAAGTTAAAATGTGTTATTGTATTAGGTTAGACTAATCCCCAACACATGCTCTGAGTGCAACTGATGACACAAGATATTTGTTTAAAACTGGCACTGTTAGCAAAATATTTTGTTAACATGTGGACAGACGGACACATTTAAAACTTTGAAATGAAAAGGAGGCAGGTGATAAACATTCCTTCAATAAATACTGGTCTCTTATTTCAAGTTTGAAATAGTGCCAAATCATTTTTGTTGTGCCTAAAAAGAACAGCAGCAGTTGTCTCTAACACACACACACACACACACACACACACACACTGTGTGTTTCTGTTCCTCATTTCCACGGATGTAAACAAGTTTCTGTATTTTTCACTCATTTGGAGTGAAAAGTTTGACATGCGCTTGTTTTCACACAAGAGTACTGCGTTTTGTTGTCACTTTATTTGCTTAATACTAACATCAGATAAAACCTGTTTATAAAACTTCAACATGTCTTGGTCCTTCCTGCTTGTTGGTTTTAAATGAACTCATATTCTGTGGATCCTTGTGGAGGTGAAGTTGCGGTTTGATGACGTCTTTAAGACGGTGTGAGCTGCTTTGTGTAACTTTCTGTTCAGAGCCTCTTGAAGTCCAGTTTGTGTGTGAATGATAGGATGACCCAAATATGGACTGATTAGCAGCTTCAAGGCGCCTCATTATGCACGCGCATTCACTGAAAGCCACGGGGGGGGCAAATGAGTGATTAGGGGCACGGACAAAAGTGGGGGCAGGGACCTGAGGGGATTTGTCTGTTGGAGGGTATTTGAGTCCAAACCTTTGGAGAGGCTTCAGAAGGATTCAGGATCTCGCCATGGCTGCTTCAGGCCACACGTGGACTGTTTTATTTCTCATCTCGGTGATGGTCGGTGCTGCGGACGCGCGTGGATTTCTGACAGATGGGCCCGCTGAACTGGTTTTACGCACGGGCGCGCACCGGGAGCGCTGCGCCGAGCTGGAGGCGCCTTGGCTGGAGAACACGCAGAGGGCCCCCGAGGATGGAGCGGCGCGGCTGCAGGTCCGCGTGCGGCCCCTTGGCCCGGGTTCCTCCCAGGGTTCGGCTTTCCCTGGAAAGTCTCTGTTCAGCTTCGTCCGGCGAGTTTACCGCTGCTGCCAGGAGGGAGGACCCTGCAGGAGGGTCAAGGGGATCCAAGGTCGCTTGAGAGGAGGTAAATACCAGTTTATGGGCGTGGAGCTTATTCATCAACATTTATATACCCCCACCCCTCCCCTGTTGGTGGACCTTCCCGGCTGGTGGTGCTCCTCAGGGCACCGGGCTCACTAGCTTCAGGAGTATGACTCATGCTCACCTTCTGATCACTGGAATAAAGTGACAGTTTTATTTATTTTTCTCCATCAAAGTAAAAACAAGTTTTAGACTGAGAACATCTTCATGTTAAGATATGAGCAGTGTTGCCAGGTGTACGATAATTATCGTATTTGTACGACAATTTTGTCCTCTGTACGATCAATAATCCCCAAAAAAGGCCAAATATACGATAATTTGACCATTCTGTGAATGTGTAGTTGTAATCGGTTGTCATCAGCCTCTCGCAACTATTTGTCGGAGTTTTTTTTGTGAACCCTGGAGGCATCTGTGCCAGCAAACAGATTTTCTAAATGTGACCTACGAGTGACGTGTGTGCGTTCGCCTCAGAACAACGGCCATGATTGGATGAAGAGTCCGCTGCGCCCCATGAGCGAGGCAAAGAAAAGAAGAAGCAGAGTCGGTCTGGAAGCGGACCCATCACTACTATAGTGCATCAATAGATTTGTTATTTTGATTATGACGAGTGTACCATAATTTACCTCAAAATACGATAATTTTATGTCTCTAGCACCCATAGCTTAGCAGGGGTGTCAAACTCACTTACAGAAGGGGGCCAAAATTAAAACTTTTTCAAATTAAGGGCCAATTTCAGAAACTACATTAACACAAATTAGATACCCAACATCTTTACTTGGTCACAGGTTCCTCAACAAGAGTTTGACGGGTCTCATTTGATGTTCTCTGTTGCACTTTTAACATCATAATCAAAGATTACTGAAATAATTAAAGAGATAGAAGTACAAACCAAATTCCAAAAAAGTTGGGACACTAAACAAATTGTGAATGAAAACTGAATGCAATGATGTGGAGATGGCAAATGTCAATATTTTATTCGTAATATAACATAGATGATAGATCAAAAGTTTAATCTGAGTAAATGTAACATTTTAAAGGAAAAATATGTTGATTCAAAATTTCAGTGTCAACAAATCCCAAAAAAGTTGGGACAAGTAGCAATAAGTGGCTGGCAAAAGGAAATTGAGCATATAACAAACAGCTGGAAGACCAATTAACACTAATTAGGTCAATTGACAACATGATTGGGTATAAAAAGAGCTTCTCAGAGTGTCAGTGTCTCTCAGAAGCCAAGATGGTAAGAGGATCACCAAGTCCACCATTGTTGCGCAGAAAGATAGTGCAGCAATGCCAGAATGGTGTTACCCAGCGTAAAACACCAAAGACTTTTAAGTTATCATCATCAATCGTGCATAACATCATCAAAAGATTCAGAGAATCTGGAACAATTGCTGTTCAATCGTCTTGGGCCTTCTTTGTCGCACCTTCCTCTTTATGATGCACCAAATGTTCTCTATAGGTGAAAGATCTGGACTGCAGGCTGGCCATTTCAGTACCCGGATCCTTCTCCTACGTAGCCATGATGTTGTGATTGCTGCAGAATGTGGTCTGGCATTATCGTGTTGAAAAATGCAGGGTCTTCCCTGAAAGAGATGACATCTAGATGGGAGCATATGTTGTTCTAGAACCTGAACACAGTTCTCTGCATTAATGGTGCCTTTCCAGACATGCAAGCTGCCCATGCCACAAGCGCTCATGCATCCCCATACCATCAGTGATGCAGGCTTCTGAACGGAGCGTTGATAACAATTTGGGCTATCCTTGTCCTCTCTGGTCGGTCCGGATGACATGGCGTCCCAGTGTTCCATAAAGAACTTCAAATCGTGACTCATCTGACCACAGAACAGTCTTCCATTTTACCACACTCCATTTTAAATGACCCCTGGCCCAGTGCAAACGTCTGAGCTTGTGGAGCTTGCTTAGAAATGGCTTCCTCTTTGCACTTTAGAGTTTCAGCTGGCAACGGCGGATGGCACGGTGGATTGTGTTCACTGACAATGCTTTCTGGAAGTATTTCTGAGCCCATTCTGTTATTTCCTTGACAGTGGTATTCCTGTTTGAGGTGCAGTGACGTTTAAGGGCCCGGAGATCACGAGCATCCAGTAGAGTTTTACGGCCTTGACCCTTACGCACAGTTAGAGGCCTGTATTAGACATGAATGGGAGACCATTTCTATTTCTAAACTTGAGAAACTGGTCTCCTCTGTCCCCAGACGTCTGTTGAGTGTTGTAAGAAGAAGGGGGGATGCCACACAGTGGTAAAAATGGACTTGTCCCAACTTTTTTGGGATTTGTTGACGCCATGAAATTTGGAAACAACAGATTTTTCCCTTAAAATGATACATTCTCTCAGTTTAAACTTTTGATCTGTGATTTGTGTTCTATTCTGAATAAAATATTAGATGTTGGCACCTCCACATCATTGCATTCAGTTTTTATTCACAATTTGTTTAGTGTCCCAACTTTTTTGGAATCCGGTTTGTATTTTACGTTTCACATATTATCTTGGGGGGCAGATAAGATGTCAATGAGGGCCACATTTGGCCCCCGGGCCTTGAGTTTAACGCATATGGCTTACAGTATGAGTGATAAATGACTCTCAGCTACTATCACACCAAACCTGTGCTCAGTATCTTAAATAGCCATTTTTGTGTATGCTAGGCTAAAGTACGGGAAGCTGCGAGGGCCATCTTGACTGTAGTTGACTCCAAAAGTTACTGAGTTGTAGATGTGCAGCCAGTGATTACTTCCTAAAAGTTTCATTAAAGACCTATCCAGTGGTTCATGAGATATTTTGCTAAAAGACTGACAGAATTGACTTCATATAGTTAATGACAAGATTTTAATCAAGGGTCTTTCACAAAATTACCTTGGTCAGAACATAAGTTGGAAATCAGTTTCAGCTACTTCAAAACCAGAATTTAGCTAAAATCTTTAAAATTTAACAAGTTACAGCCATTTTTGTGTTTTTTGAGGTCAGCTGACCATGACGGCCATCTTGTTTGGTTAAATTTAAAAATGAATTGATTATACAGACCCTTTCCAAAAAATTAGAGTATTATGGAAAAGTTGTTTAACGTCTATTATTCCATTCAAAATGTGGATCTTTAATAGATGATAGATTCAGGGCCCACAATTTAAACCCATCCATCCATCCATTATCTTTACCCGCTTCTTCCATTTTGGGTCACGGGGGTCGCTGGTGCCCATGTCCAGCAATCACTGTGCGAGGGGCGGGGTACACCCTGGACGGGTCGCAAGTCCATCACAGGGCCACATAGAGACAAACGAGACAAACAACCATTCACTCTCTCACTCACACCTAGGGACAATTTAGAGTTACCAATCAGCCTAACATGCATGTTTTTGGTCTGTGGGGTAAAACCCACGCATGCACGGAGAGAACATGCAAACTCCACCCAGAAAGGCCCCTGGACCGGGGTTTGAACCAAGGACCTGCTCGCTGAGAGGCAGCAGCTCTACCAGTTGCGCCACCATGCTGCCCCACAAT